CCATGTACCAACCTTACAGCCTCCAGAGAAGTGGAAAATGCCTTATTGCATCCTCCTCTGTCCTGGGTTGCTCTGGGAGTTTGAAGGACTTCAGGACAGACTCAGCAGACCTGAGAAAAGTTGTTGAATGTACAGAGCCTCCACTGCCTATGAGCTGTATGCTGATGTACCACTACCATGTGGATGTGCTTCAGCTTCAGCACCAGATGAAAGCAGCTGTTGAGCTGAATTCTGAGTTAAGTGGGTCTTTCAGTGAGGCTTTTTCCTAATAGTCTAAGAAATACTTGAGAGTTTTCCAATAGATGCACTTAAATTTCTGTCGTGTCTTTGACTTGGCCAATCCTGTTTTACTGTAAATTTGCACATAAATTTTTTTTCCAGTGGGAAATAAATTGCTTTTAAGAATTATATTTTAGTACAAAGGGAAGGCTATATTATGCATTAAGCATAGTGAATAATGAAAAAAGTCATCTTCTCATTTGACAGCCTTCATGGGCTTGTATTGATCCAAAACTTCATACATCTTATTTTTGAAAGAAAACACAAAACAAGACATTCACCTAAGCATTCAATGCAGGTTTTTTTTTTTTTTGTGGCAGGCAATGTTTGAAAGTGGGTTTCATCCATCCACTTGTTCATCCAAAACCCTTTTCCCTGTAGAGCAGGATGTTTTAATAAAAAGTCTGAGACTCCTTGAAGGTGTCACTCAGACAAAACTTTTTTAATGCCTGCTGGAAGAGAAAAAATTGAAAGAAGGCTGTGTTTAAAGCACATGTAAAGCTTTCATGGCTCTGCTTTACTTGCACTTTAACAATAATCAGCTCCCTCAAGGTCAGGAGAGCTTCTCTGATGGTGAACCCACTTCTACAATTCCAACTTTTAAAAACCCTGTGCAGCAGCACATTTGACCTATGTGAAGATCTGTATCAGTCTTGCACTTTCAAAACAGGAAGACAAGCAAGGGCAGAGGTTCTTGAAATCTTGCTGTTGCTAACCTTACTGCAAATGGCTGAGACAGGGAAGACAAAAAGTACAGGCTCTGTGCTGCACAAAAGACAGTTACTCATCTCTGCTAAATTTGTGCTCTGTGTGTCATTGTCACAGCTGTTTGCTCTCAGGATGGAGTTAGTGGATGCCACATGCAGCTTGGCATAGCAGTAAGGAGAAATAAGCTACCAGGGGAAAATGATTCAAAATCAGTTTGCAAATGAGGTGGTGAACATAGAAGGTGCCTTGGAGGTGGGTGGGGTTCTCAGGAAAAAACTAATTCTTTCTTCCTTCTTAGAGCTGTGAAACTCTCAGAGCCAGTGGCAGAGTCCTGAGGTTGTTGAAGGGACTTTCCCAGCAGTACTACAGAAATTTCAATCTCCCTTTACTTCCTCTCCCAGCAACTGTGTCCTCCCTCTGCCCCTAATCCCCCAGAGCTCCACTCTCAGAACACCTCTGCACAATTCTTGCCACCCCTAGAGAATGAGAGTTTTGTCACCAACTCCCACACAGCTGGAATTACATTCCAAGGAACAGCTCTTTTCTTGCCACCTCTTTGTCCTTTTCCTCTCCCCAGAGAAAAACTAGTCAGTACCTGTGGTTACCAAATGGGCTTCTGTTTGACTAATCAAATCTCTTGCAGAGAGAGGAGTTAGAACCTTGAATTGTTTAATAAAGACTACGAAATAATTATTGTCTAATGGCCTAATAGAACATAAAACCAACCCATTAACTGCTGATTTACAAAATGTGCTGATGTCTGTGTATGCTGAGGGAGAACACAGTTGTCAAAGGGTTTAATTTCTTCCCTTCATCTACCGAAGGAGTAATTAAGACCAGCCCTAACCAGGATAACATGTGCTAAAGAGACACGTGTTAACTGTCTCCTAACAATATTGCAGGCTATGTGCTTCAAACTAATTAGTACAGAGGCTGTTAGTGTTGACAAGGGACACACAAAAGAAAAACATTGTGCAAAACCAGACAATTTTGGAACTGATGCTGTTGAAAAGGGTTTAACATCCATGCAGGTAGACATGACAGCCACAGATCCTTTCTCTGCTTTAATCAAACATTCCTTTCAAGATTTTCAAGAAAACATGGAGGAAACAATCACCCCACATTGCTTCATGAAAACATTACATTCTCATAAAACATACAATCTCTCTCTTAAATACACTTACTGCTTTTGACAGTATTTCCATTGGTCTGGGTTACATTTCTTTGGAACTTTTCAAGACAAAGGAATAACACAAACTGGTTACAGGGTCTGACCTCCTCATTCATTCCTCATTCCTCCCAGACACCAAGGGTAGCCCAAGCCCCACTGTGTCTGTCAGCACCCTGAAGGAAGGGCTGGATCTCGTTGGGTGCTGTTGGTTCAGTGAGCCAGGAACAGTCATCAGATCTTAAGGAGTTGTTGTTAAATTGAAGCAAGTTGTCTGTTTCTAGTGGGAAGCTGAGTTCATAGCTAACTCCCAGAGCATCTGGGGAGCCTCTGGGAGGCTGTGAGAGCAGGCAAGGTCACACAGCATTCAGCTCAGCCTGGCTTAGAATTTGCAAGCAAAAAAAAAAAAAATGACCTCTGGCTTCCCAGTACTAAACACAACC